TTACACCTGACATAATAGTTCTCACTCTCTTGTATAGCATAGCTGGGGTATGCTTGTCATGCTATATGCATATGATTCTTCCTTTGATGATCCAAAAACACTTATTTGTTTTCACCGCCCAACATGACAGCTGGGTATTGCCATTGTTAATGACTTCAAAAGTATAGAAGGAGATAGAGCACTAGGACTTCAGGTTATCTCTATTTCCTCATATATATCATATAATCTATATGTTGTTAAGGATATCTCGACAATTCCTATCTCATGAATTAGTCTTATGGTGTACATGTAATGCTGTTCATGCAGTCACTTCCAGTAGCCTTTGGTGCTGAAACTGCTAAATGGATATGCGTTGGTGCTATTGACATAACTCAAATATCTGTAGCTGGTATGTAGTGCGTTTTGCATCTTTCCTATTGAAGATTCAGATGTACCTTTTGAGGTGAAAATAATGTGTTACTTATAAAGTTGCATGTCTTAAATATGCTGGCAATTAACATGTCTGAATTGAGAAATCAAATGTTTTCCTTCTTACTTCCAATGTGTTGCTTCTTATCCTACTTCTAAAAAAAGCCTTGTAAGATTCACATGGTCAAATTACGTTTATATGAGACTGATTTGTAATTTGAGTACCAACTACCTAACTTTACAGTTTTTTGCATAATTTTTTTTAGTTATGGAAGTTGGCTTATTGCAGTCTAATTTGATTGGTTAGGTTACCTTCTTGGAGCTGGTAAACCATATTATGCGTTGGCCTTGCTTGCTTTGATAATTCCACAAGTAGTATTTCAGGTAGTGTTGCTAGCTCTCTTTGTATAGCATTTAGATTTAAATCTGTTAATCTGATTGAGACGCTCTTGTTACCTTCTCAAAAAACTCTCTACTAAAGCAAGGTCCTGTTTATATATGCTGCAGTTCCAGTACTTCCTCAAAGACCCTGTCAAGTACGATGTTAAATATCAGGTAAATATTCATAACTATTGAAGAAGGGTTAAAGTCTTATGGGGGTTCACACCAATGGAAAACAGGCTACAGAAACTTTTTTTTTTTTTTTAAAGAAAAATATAGAAGATTCTTTTACATCTATAATGAGCAGGATGCCTGAACTGGGTACTACAAGAATCCTGTCTCACTGCCTAGAGAAGGCTTTCGGTCTTTTAGATTGTCCATGTGGCCCTCTGGACTAGCTAAGAATAGTTGGTTTTGGCCTTAATATATCTGTCATTTAAGACACCAAGTGGTTTAATGCCAAACTTCTATTGAAACTCAAGCAGAAGCCTGTCTTTGTATTTCAGGCCAGTGCTCAGCCATTCCTAGTTCTCGGTCTGCTGGTGACTGCCTTAGCAACGAGTCATTAGTATATCCATTTGTTGCTTTTACTGGCGGGACAAGAGAGTGACTAGGAAGACAACAAACATAAAGCTGGCAAATGTTGGCAAGCAGAAGATTATCCACCAGCAAAGGTTACAGCAGCCGTAATTTTGCCAATCTATGTGAGCCTCTTCTTCAGCTCTAATTAATAAGATAGGATTTTCCCATTCCATCACTTTCTGCTTATTGTTTGTCTGTAACTGCTGTAAATGACATGTTTCTCATGTTTTGGATTTTTCGTTTTAAACCACTGTAACACCAGAATCCAGAATATGCAGTTCTGCACAGTTTTCTATTTACCTGCATTGCTTCTTTGTTCTCTTATTCACTCCACTAGGGACCGATGATGATTGGTTGTCAAAGGACCGGAGGTGTGAATTTTGAGCATGTCATTGACTCGCTAACAAGATTGTAAAATGATAGATGCCCAGAAAACACAAGAAGGATTGCAAACGAAAGCTTTTATTTTTGGGATAGAAAAACCACAATTTTTTTGTTAATTAATATTTGCCCCATCCATAATCTGATGGGGCTTTAAATAGGAAGGGAAACAACAACTTCTCCCTGCAATTCAGGGAGCACAACGGCTAGTAGCAACTAAATAATCTCAACAAATACTAAATGATTTCAACAAATCAAAAGATAAGATAATGTTGGAAATAAATTAAAAACAAAGGATAAATTGATGCTCAATAGTTGACTGGATCTTGAGGAAGTTCTACTTGCTTTAATGATATTAGAACCAAAGATACTTGGGATTCTTGACTGGGATCCTTGCTGATCTTCTTGTGGTATCATTGCCTCCCTCTTTTGTAGGAACTTGTCCTCAAAGTTCAAGTAGCCAAATTTATCTGTTAGTTCGTTGCTATTTTCCGAGATAGCTTCTTCTGGGGGCAAATTCTTCCATTAGACAAGATTTTCTTTAACAAATTTTGCTCCCTTTTTGATCCATCGGGTTCTCAAAATGGTTTGGGGTTGCAGCAGTTGGTCCCCATCTTCAGATATTGCAAGTAGATTTTCAATAGGGGCAATTGCTTCACCAATCTGTTTTTTTAACATGGAGATATGGAAAACGGAATGGATACGCGACCCTTGTGGAAGTAGAAGCTTGTAAGCAACGGGGCCAATACGATGAAGGATTTGATAAGGTCCATAGTATCGACATGCGAGTTTTTGGAAGGCTCTCTTGAAAACTGTTTACTGCCGATATGTTGGAGCCTGAGAAAGACCCAATCGCCCTCCTGAAATTCGACTTCACGTTGATGGACATTGGCGGTGGCTTGCATGCAACTGTTGGCTGCTTGTAAATTAGTTCGAAGTTGTTTAAGGAGGGATTTTGGTTACAAAGCTGTTGGTTAACTTCATTGACAAGGGTTGAGCCATCTTGGTAATGGAGAATGGGCGGCAGTGGTATCCCATATAAGCCCTGAAAAGGCGTCATCTTGATAGAGAAGTTGTAGGTTGTGTTGTACCAAAATTCGGCCCAAGGAAGGAGAGAACTCCACTTGCGTGGTTGTTGGTGGCTTAAGCACTGTAGATATTGTTCCACACTACGGTTCACAACTTCTGACTGTCCATCTGTTTGCGGATGGTCGGAGGAGCTCATTCAGAGCTGAGTGCCAGACAACTTAAAAAACTCTTGTCAGAAGCGGCTAGTGTAGACCGGATCCCTGTCGCTAATTATGGAGCGAGGCATACCATGTAATTTTACCACATTGTCCACAAATTGTTTTGCCACAATCTTAGCGGTGTAAGGGTGAGCCAAAGCGATAAAGTGCGCACTCTTGCAAAGTCGATCAACCACAACCAAGATAATATTCTTTCAGTTTGAAATAGGCAGTCCTTCAATAAAATTCATGGAAATATCATCCCATATTTGGCAAGGGATTGGCAACGGTTGGAGAAGGCCAGTTGGTGAGAGTGTCTCGACTTTGACTCGTTGGCAGGTGTCACATGCTGCTACATATTCTTTAATATCTCGGTACATGGCTGGCTAATAAAATTGTTGGGCCAATCTTTTGTAAGTTCGTTGGAAACCTGAGTGGCCACCTGTCAAAGATGAGAGGAATTCCTGTAATAATTGTTGTGTGATTTTTGATTTAGGAGAGACAACAATTCGATGCTTAAAATAAATCAACCCGTTCTTGAGTGAAAAGGAACCACTTGCTGAGTCAGTGACTAACTTGCAGGCTATCTGCATATTGGGATGATCTGCAGCTTCCCGGATGGTGTTCCACAAATTATTTTTGGGCATAGAGATAGTGTGTAGAGTGGGGCTATCTTCCCTACGAGATAGAGCATCGGCGGTGGAGTTTGCTTTTCCTGGTTTGTACATGATCTCATATTCATAGCCAAATAACTTAGAGAGTCACTTTTGCTGTTCCGGGACTGTAATTCGTTGGTCCAGCAAATGCTTCAAACTTTTTTTATCCATGTGCACATAGAACTTTCTGCCCATCAAATACAGACTCCATAATTTTATGGCAATAATAATAACAAGCATCGCTTTGGTGTATGTTGACCATGATTGCTTGGCAACGCCTAATGCTCGACTCATGTAAGCTATAGGCTGTCCATGCTGAGTGAGGACAACCCCAATGTCGCAGCCAGAAGTATCAGTTTCTATGATAAATGACTCTTCAAACTTCGGGAGTGCCAAGGTAGGAGTTATGGTCATAGCAACATTAAGGTTTTAAAAAGCTGATTCTGCTTCCTCGGACCACCCAAATTGTCGTTTTTTTAGAAGATTAGTCAAAGGCCGAGCAAGAATTTCGTACTGCCAAATAAACTTTCGGTAATAGTCTGTCAAACCCAAAACTCCTCTCAATTAAGTGATGTTGTTCGGTCGAGGCCAATCTAATATGACCTTAATTTTGGTTTGATCCACTTTGACCCCTTGCGATGTGACTATGTGCCCCAAGTATTCATGTTCCTTTTGCCCAAAGACACATTTTTTTCAGGTTGATGAAAAATTGATGTTTCTGGAGGATGTCAAAAACCTGCTTAACCTGCTCAAGATGCAATTCTCAGCTGGGACTGTATATTAAGATGTCATAAAAAAAAAATTAAAACAAACCTACGGAGATGCTGGCGAAAACTGTTGTTCATGACTGCTTGAAAGGTGGAAGGGGCATTGTAAAACCCAAATGGCATGACGAGGTATTCATAATGACCGTTATGAGTGCAAAAGGCCGTCTTGTGAATATCCGATGGATGTACTCTTACTTGGTGGTAACCCGCGGTGAGATCGAGTTTAGTAAAGAAAACAGGTCCATGGAGTTCATCCAACATGTCATCAACCGTAGGGATGGAAAACTTGTCTTTGATGGTGGCTGAATTGAGGGCCCGATAGTCTGTACAAAACCTCAAAGTTCCATCTTTTTTGCGCACCAATAGCACCGGTGAGGAGAACAGACTGGTGCTTTGCTGAATCAGCCCTGAATCAAGCATTGTATTCACCTGTTTTTCAATTTTACTTTTCTGGAAATAGGCATACTTGTATGGTATGACATTGACGGGTTCAACCCCTTCCTTCAAACTGATGCGGTGATCAACATATTGGCATGGAGGAATTGATTGTGGATCTTTGAAAAGATCTTGGTACTGATCCAAGAAAGCTTGCATATCTGGATGGAAGTTGATCAGAGAGGTGCTGTTTTCTGTCTGCAAATACACCACAAAAAGAGAGGAGTGTTGAAGCGTGCTTTTGGCGACTTCTTTAGCTGAAGCAATCTGGAGAGGTGGAGCGTCAAGGCCCCATAACTATCGTAGTCGACCACCCCACTGGAATTCCATGGTTATCTGACCCCAATCACACATAACAGCTCCTAATGCTTCTAACTACTGAACTCTAAGAACAAGATCGAGACCAGTTAATGGTAGTCAGTTAATGGAAGAGGATATCTTGGATGTTAACCGACACATTTTCAAATCGTCTGTGACATCTCATTGGACTACCATTCGCAACTTTGACCGAGAAGGCTTGAGTTAGGAGTACGGGTAATTTTAGCAAGCTCACGACTCGCTCACTGATGAAGTTGTGAGTCGAGCTGCTGTCGATGAGGATGACAATGCGTTGACTGTGGATGGTTGCATCAACACGCATCGTTTTTGTGGTGGACCAACTAGTGAAAACATGAAGGAAAATTTCAAGCTCCTCTTTTTTCGGTTCTTCTTTTTCTTCTACGGTCCCTTTTAAGAGCAAGACTTGAGCTTGGCGACAGTGGTGGCCTGCGGTTTCTCGTCGCAGTTGAAGCAGAGGCCCTACATTCGACGGTGCTGCATCTCTTCCCACGAGAGGCGCTTTGGGGTGGAATCTATAACTAGGGTTAGGGGTGGGTTAATCGGGTTATGTCTGACCTGATTGAATCTTCTCTGTTGACCCACTTGCTTCTCCTTCATACGGGCCAAGTTGATGGTCTCTTTCAAAGATTTGGGCCTGAACATCCGAATATCTTCAGTAATTTCAGGCTATTGTCCACCAATAAATGTACCCACCAGGGCCTTTTGAGTCCAACCTCTCACTTTGTTGCCCAATCTCTTAAATTCTTTTTGATAATCTCGTAAGGGCCCGATCTGACTCACTTTGGATAGGGCTTTATCGAAGTCTTCACATTCGGGTGGCCCAAAGTGAGCCCAAACCTCTTCTTCAAATCATGTCCATGTCACCATCCTTCCTTCTTGGTAAGTCCGGTGAAGGACTTTCTACTCTTCGGGAATTCCTTGATACTCAAAAAATTGTGCGACGCAGGTGAGCCATTCGGTCGGGTCATCTCCGGAAAAGATAGGAAATTCTAGCTTGGCGAGTTTAGAGAAGAATGGCTGTCGGCCACCATCATTTCGCTCAACTCCTTCGTCGTGGTTTGGTTGTGTTCCTTCAATTTTTTTTTGGGGTATTGCAGCTGGAGCCTTCACGGTTGATTAACAGTCTCTGTTAATCGTTTGAGAGTATCCTCCATTTGGTGAAGTTATCGGCGACTCCAAGCTCTATTCGACTGAAGCTGTCCTGCAGTCCTTCGACACTTTCTTCCAAATTCTCAATCCTTTCCTTGTGAGACATGGCTCTGATACTAAAATAATATATGCCCAGAAAACATAAGAAGGATTGTAAACGAAAGCTTTTATTTTTAGAATAGAAAAACCACAATTTTCTTGTTAATTAATACTTGCCTCATCCATAATCTGATGGGGCTTTAAATAGGACGGGAAACAACAACTTCTCCCTACTATCCAGGAAGCACAACGGCTAGTAGCAACCAAATAATCTCAATAAATCAAAAGATGATATAATGTTGGAAGCAAATTAAAAAACAGAGGATAAAT